GATTAGGCCTTGCCTGGAGTACTATGTCCAGTACTGGGCACCAGTTTAAGAAAAATGCAGACAAGCTGGAAAAGGTTCAGGGAAGAGCAACAAGAATGATCCAGGGACTGGAAACAAAGCCCTGTGAGGAGAGATGGAAAGAATTGGGCATATTTAACCTTGAGAAGACAAAACTGAGAGGAGAAATGTTAGCACTCTACAGGTACTTGAAAGGTTTTCACAAGAGGAGGGACAGGTTCTCTTTCTGATCATTCCAGAGCGCAGGACATGGAAAATGGGCTTAAGTTACAGAAACCCAAATTCTAGCTAGTTATCTGGAAAAATTTCCTGACTGTTAGAGCAGCATGACAATGGAACTTATTACCATTGGAAGGTTACCAGTGGAAGGTTGTGGGCTCTCCCACTCTAGAAACATTCAAAATGCAATTGGAAAACTTCAAGTTAAACCATCTGAGAGGGGACTCTCTGGCTCCTTCCAACTCCACAATTCTATGGTATATCCTTTTAGTCATTCATTTATTTGCAACATTTAGATACTTTTCCACATCTAAACAGATGCCAAAATAGAGAACAATAAAATAAAAAAGAATAAAAGAAAATATTGAAAACAGAGTATCAATAGAAACAGTGGCTGTTCAACCAAGGAAGTCTTTCTGAAATAAGGATGTTTTCAGGAAATTCTGGAAACAACACAGTTTTGATGCCTGTCTGACCACCAGAGACATTGAGTTCCAGAGTAATTGAGACACTACACTAAAAGCTCTTCTCTGAGTGGATGCTAGTTGCGTCAAACCATCAGGACATCAGTTGTACAACCATCAGGACCATGCCATCTGGTGACATCAGTAACTGGGCACGTTGATAAAAGGAACAGGCTTCTCCATCATAATCAATGGCTGCACTTATTACAGGACAATGGACCATGAAAAAGCTCTAGTGTGTTGACTATCTACTTAAGACAGCTTCTTTCAGCACCAGTAAGCAAATCACATCATGATATGAACCTGGAGTGTCAGCAACCTGCAAGACAATAAATCATAATCTTTCCCGGGGTGGTCTGAACATGACAGCAGCACAATTGCGGGTTAGAATTGGGTCACTGCCAGTTTACACCACTCATCATTTGGGGTATGGGGATAGAATTGTGCTTTGAGGGAACACTTCAGGGTGCTGAGTCATTTTCCGCCTGCCCATGTTTTTCCCATGAAACTGCTTCTGTCCAGCTAATTCTCTTTTGATAGGAATCTGAAAGATGAAGTAATCCGTCAGGAGAAGAAGCAACTAGACAAGGACACAAACTGGTGGGAAAAGCGTTCCACATCAATTCCACGTACTATGCTGCACTTAAACTGTGATTCCCACCACCACACATTACTGGGAATCTCCGTAATTCACAGTTTAGCATATATGGATGACTAGACAGCTCCAGCTGAGGGGTATCTTCATGGAACACTTGAAAAGTAAAGATAAATAGTGACCAGAAGTGCAGCACAACACAATAATTCATTTTACTGTTAATATCAACATATCTTGGTAAATTAAAGGAATGGACTCTCATCCAATGAATTTTCTTCATTTCAAGACTTTTACAGTTGCAGTCTATTTATCTATACAGCTTTCAGTTACCTCCATTCCAAGACCTCTTCAACAGTTTAATGTTGCATCTGCATTCTGTCACATAAAAATGGCCATCTGCACCAAATCAGTATCTTAATTCTTGCTTGCAGCTGTGAAGTTAAATGTTCTCTGTCTTGCTTTTTTCACCTTTTACACCTTTTGAATCGCATTGTACTTCACAGAGCCTGCAGTCTGGGCACTTCTCCAGCTGAATTCACCTGCTTTAAATTGCCTAAGCCCTAATAAAAAGGGTCTGCAGACAAGATTGTTCCAAATGTGCAACCATTTAAGGGAGGTAATGAATTGGACAGCTGCCTAGGTTCATGCAGAATTTTAAACTTTCTAATTCAGTACTAATTAAAAGCACACCCTTGGATCATTCCTGGCCTGGATTTCTTCTGTCCACTAATCCCCCTATTCCCTCTGGTCCTGCTCATATTCATAAATATATATATATATGAATATGTGTGTGTTATATATATATTGTTTTGAATAGAGATATGGCTTATTTATGGTTATAAATGAATGAAAACCCACATATTACAATTGGATATCCCAACAAAAAGCTATGGATTAACATTGCTGTCTGCTTGATGACAGCAATATCATGGCAAATAGTGGGCAGTGCTAAATGGCTGTCCTACAAATTCATGGATACTTTTCCCTGGTGCCTTGCCAAATCTGGTGGCCACCTATCCTCTTCTTTTTATTTTTTTGTATAGAGTTTGAAGAGCTGCCAGAGAATGGGATGTCCTGCTAAATTCCAGTTTAGAGACAATGAACCATAAGAACTACTGCCCATCAACAGGTAGGCACACAGGTAAACTTGGTCCTTATGGCAACTGTATCAACAAGGCTGGGCCAGATGGACCAATGGTCTGACTCGTCATGGCAGCTGCTTGTATCCTAAAGGGCATCAGGTGTAACGGCTCTTGCAACAACATAGCACAGAACCAGCCACCACCATTGTCTCAGCTGCATCAAAGTTGTACCGGTCCTCCTCTGAGCACAGCTGTAATACAATAGACAGGGACAAATGACTGCCCACGTAGCTCCGTTTTATAGGCTGATTTATCAGCCCAGGAAACAAGCTTATACAATCTGTTCCAGTTTATGAATATTTTCAATGAGACGTTTTGTGGAAGCATATGAAGTTCAGCTTTTACACAAATGCTTTCCCCCACTCAATGAAATCCCTCTAGAGAGAAAATTATCTCACACTATAGTGGAACACAGCATCGTAAATGTTAAAGCTGCAAAATTACCAATAAAATGTATATAAAACGCTAAATTAAACTTGATCATGGCATAAAACATTATTTTAAAGGCATTTTTACTGAAAGTTAAAAGGCACTTTTTAACAACATCCTAACATAGCTTGAGACACTTGTATATGTATGATCCCATTTAACACTGCATGAAACCTGACATAGACAATTGCATTACAGAGTGCCTTCTAATTGTTCAGATCCTATTTAAACCCATAATCTCTTGTATTTCAACCAGCATTTTCCCATACTTTGGAATCAAGGCACATTTCTTTGTGACAACTTATATTGTCCCTACCAAATAACATAAGTGCTACTACTTCCAAATCTTCAGGGATTTCCATTGTTTTGACGGGAACTAGACTCTTTAGTGATCTCCTACAAACCTTAGGGATGGCATTTGCTGCTCTCATCTGTCTGGCTACCTGGTACACAATTGTGCTTTCCATATTTTGCACCAGCCGCTGATCCTCTTCCGTCCTTGTACTCAAAGCCAGGTGGAATCTTAAGAGCACCAGCCAGTGACAAACTTCTTACTTTTCCATACAACTTCTCTTCATTCAACAACATTCTATCCCTCAGAAGTCTCTCACAGCAACCAATATTATTTTAAAAACAAAAAAATAAAGGCTGTAAGAACTGTCTGGTGGAATAGACTAGGTTAGACCAAAGTGGTGGAACAAACTACGTTAGAAAAGTATAAAAGCACTGAATCTTGAGAAGACAAAAATGTGTTCACATGATGCAAGAAAGCCATCCACATCCACAGCAAGCAAACTTCCCTTAAGAGAAACATTCAAAGCTGGAATGGTAAATCAAAAAGGTCCTTTCAGAGCTTTCTAGTAGCCTCATTTCTGAAATCACAGGGCTCTGAAGAAGAGTCTCCAAAAAAGAGCTTAACAGGCAGGCAAGTTTATATGAATGGCACAGATACTCATTAGCAGTGCTTCTTTTTTTTTTTTTGGTCATAGAACACACCGGAACGGAGTTCTGGCACCTTTTTTCGACAGAGTTTCCAGTTTTAAAAGTAACTTTTGAAAATTTGATGTTTGGTACATGTGGATTTGAATCACCCTGTCGAGTGTAGCAGGTCGGCGGCAAAATCATTAAAATGGTGCATGCGGACTGCTTGTGTGACGAATCCGATGCATGCGTACTTCGTCCAGACTGGTTGTGATGGCGCTGCTTGGCTTGTGGCGCTGCTCGGCTTGTGATTGGTCATGTGGTCGCACTCTGAGTGCTTACTGCGGGTGGCAACCATTATGTTTCGTTATACAACTGACGTATGTGTGTGTGTACAGTGATGGACTACATGCGAAAGCTAAATAATTTCATTAGTTCTGGCACCGTTTTTCTTACAAAAAAAGCACTGCTCATTAGTATTATCCCAAAGCACTTAAGACTTTAAAGATTAAAAGCAGAACATTGAATAGAGGTTGGAAACGTATCCCCCTTTTCAAAATGCACACAGCTATTGTGCATATGACTGCTGGATGGAGAATTATCAAATTATGGGTATTTACTAGCTGGTGCCTGTAATATCATTGTTGATAACCAACACCCAAAGTATCTCCCATTTCTCCCCATGTGCTTTAATTTCAACTTGCCTGTTAAAATATGCTTTATTTGTATATTAAGGAAATAAAAACAAAAAGCTCGCAACCCTCAGACTGAAGTCCTGTCCACTTACCAAAAGAACTAAAGCCGCTTGAATAGCTGCCAAAGAAGATAAAGCGGCTCCAATAAGTTCTGTTACGGAAGGGACGGAATCCTACAAAAGCACATATGAAAACACTGAAGAAACATCCCACTGTAGGATGTAAATAGGATGTACTTCCCTTGGTAGCTGCTCTGGATGAGAATGGTAGGCAAGATATAAAAGAGATAGAAAAAAGGGATGCTTCTTCACCAAGGTTTATTTCCTGCACAATTGTAAAGCTACAGGGTTAGTATAGCATTAACCGTTACGTTACTGAGAAAAGTATTCTTTCTGCATCTGGAAATGCAGTTTTTAATGCAAATCCATGGCATAATGAGCTTTTATTATTCTGTATTTACCAGGGCTCCGATAAAGAACAAACTGTAAACGTTATTTGAAGAAGTGTAAAGACATACCATGTCTTCACTTTCAAACTGTGCATTGTACTGTCCTGAATCCTCCTGCACTGGCTTTTGCACAATGTTTCTGCAGACGAGCCATATGGTCAGACTTGCAATGAACACACCGATATCAGGAACAAAAATCCGGATCCCATTGCCCGCATCTGCCCCTTTGACACTGTATGGAATTGAAAGAAAGGGAAAACATTTTAGTGCTCATTTAATTATTCAAGTCTAGCTCAGCAATAATATTGTAATACAAAGACATATTGGAGACATGTTTGAATTCTCCTTGGAATTTTGCAGGTGAGTTTTCAATGCTGCTGCTTCTATTGGAATGTGTAGAGGACATACCCTGAGAGGGCATGGCTATAACTAGCAATAAGAGGCTATGCTATGGTCTAAAGGGTTAATTTATATTTTACCTTACGATGTCTTAAAGGTGATCAGGACCATGCCCCAGGGCCTAATGATTGAAACATATGAAGAAACTTGCAGGTTAAGACTAGGAAACAATCTAGTCCAGCATTTTGTTCACAAGGTAGACAGCCAGGTGCTGTGGAGATGCCCCAGGGACTAATGCACTGAGGAAACCGACATGGTGACCAGAAGCTGCCTTGATTAAAGTTCCAGTAGAAAAAGCAGTGGAAAAGGTTTTTTTCAAAGGACAAAAGGCACCCAGATGCAGACCAGAATTCGACTGACACTGTTGAGGCTAAAAATGTGAAAAAAAGGTGAAAGGAGAAAGGCCAGGGGAAAGGATGGGCTTGGGCTTCGTGCATCATGGACTGGCCTTGCCTCCCCTCTAGCTTGCTTTGTGCTTTGTTTATGGAAACAGAATGGTACAGTGCTCTCTCAGATAAGATGTCATGTCATCTGAAGAAAACTTAGATTGCCATCTCAGACCATTGTTTTACATTGTGATTTGCTGGTCAGTCACAAACCAAAGTCTGTCAGTCCAAATGACATTACAACCGACTTAATCTTATTTTTGATTTCAAAAACTGCTCCATCATCTTTGTTCACATAATGACATAGTAGTATATGAAAGGAAGAAAGTTTGAAACATATCTAAGTTTTATTTTTAAAATGAGGGAGTACAAGCTAAACTTATGCAGTGTAGTAGCATTCTGATACGTTTATTGCAATATGAAATTGTTAATCAAAAGAAATACAGAGAAAAGGTCACATCAGTGTTTCAAGTTTTACTAAAAGTAAAATGTTTGTAGACATTTATTTGACTAAAAGACTGAACCACCATTTCTAGCATAACCCCAGAAGCAATTAACCATCAGGTACAAATTCTACTAGAATTATAATGAATCTCATTGCTTTCTCCAATAGTAACATATTTATAAATACATGTAAGCTACATATATACATATAATCCAAATAGAATGTCTGATTGTGCACTAACCAGAAACAGTGGCACAAGGATATAAAACAATGGACAGTTGTGGTCTTCTGTGTCACAGGAATTTTTGTGTTAATTTCAGTCTTCAATGCCAGTTTGGGAATAATTCAGATTAGAATTTCTGCAATGAGCTGGATAAGTCCAATAAAAAACAACTCTTAAAAATCACATTTGAAATGAATGAGGGTTTCATAGGAGCAGTTCTGGATGGAAATGCAGTGCTAAACTTTCTTCCCTGGAATATTTCCCTGACTTGCAATGCTCCTTTTCTCCCGGTAAAGAGATTGAGAGAAAGAGAGAGCACTACCATGATATATAATTTCAGTTTGAAAAATTGAGCACTTGTGTCTCCTTCATAAACATTACTCTTGGAGATTCACAGAATGAATATGCATTGCATAACAATTATTTATTTTGAAATACTACACGGTAGCACTTTTGGTAGCACATCTAACAAGACATTCTGCTGATCCTACCACTGCCTTTATTGCTAGCTGGATTATGCATTATCAGGCTTCCATATTAGCATTTTAGAGGCTAGAGTAGCACTTAAGAACATAAATATGTTGTGGGGCATATGGTGTGTATATACAATGGACATTAAGAAGTATGTTTCATAGAGCAAAGTATTTTAATAGAGCATTTCCATTTCTAACACAGAAACCACTACCAGTATATCATTATGCAACTGATGCAAAATGATCTTGAAAATATGTTAATAATTGTGTTAAGAACTATATAGTATACATAGTACATAGTATAAGGCAAGGCAATAAAGGTAATACAGTATAAGACAATAAATTATAGTCCCTATAACAACTATAGAATGATTGTTTATTTGGGCACGATTAGTATCGGTAAAATATTCCTAATGTGGTTAACTTAGAGGCATTCAGAACCATAAAAAGGCAGAGGAGCCAAAAGGCCTTTTCTGACTGTAACCCTACATTAGTCTTCTGATTTTGATGTTTGTGTTTTCACTTCTATGCTGTACATACAGGGTCAGCAGCCCTAACAGATAGAATAAGGTGGTAACTATATACAATTGTTTTGGGTGTTATGAAATGGCAGAAATATTATTTTGATTGATTGACTGTACTTTCACCTTCAGGTATGGGAAAAGTTGTTTGTGGGGCTGTTTGTCTCAGGCACAAACACAATTTGGTGTACCTTAAGATCTATCTATGCACATGGACTTCATTTGGCTCTTTGTGTCAGACAACAAAATGTCTGGGGCCAGCCTGGCTGAAGAGGTCTATGTCCTTTGTGCTGGAGCCACTCATAATGCTGAATGGGCAAGCCTTTTAATTTAAGTCTGGCATCTGGCCTCAGCTATATAGATGGCTTCAGCAGAAACTCCAAATTCAAGTTGTACTCAAGATTTTATCTTGATGTATGTATGCACCCATCTCATTAACATAGAAACATAGAAACAGAGTGAGTCAGAAGGGACCTCCTGGGCCATCTAGTCTGACTCTGCCACCAGCCAGCTCCGCTCACAACATGCCCACCATGTGCATGTCCAGCCTATCTTTGAACACCCTCACCGATGGGGCCTCAACAACCTCTCGTGGAAGCCCATTCCACACCCTCGGGGTCCTGACTGTCAGGAAGTGCTTCCTGGCATCCAAATGGAACCTGGGTTCCCTGAGCTTTGCTCCATTAGAGCGCATCCTGCGTTCCTCTGCAGGGGAGAACAGGTCTCTACCCATCTCCATGTGACATCCCCTCAAATGCCTGTATGTCGCCAACATATCCCCTCTGAGTCCCCCCTTCTCCAGGCTGAAGAGACCCAGTTCCCTCAGACTCTCCTCATACCCCATCCCCTGCAAACCGGTCACTGAACCTGTGGCCCTATGCTGCACTGACTCTAACCTGGCTATATCCTTTCTGTAATGAGGGGCCCAAAACTGAGCACAATACTCCAGTTGCGGGTGTACCAGAGTCGTACAGAGTGGTAGTAATACCTCTCTCGATATAGAAGCCACACTTCTGGCTATGCAACCAAGGGTAGTGTTCGCCCTCTTGACCACCGCATCACACTGCTGACTCATGTTTAGCCTGCAGTCAACCAGTACCCCAAGGTCCCTTTCACAAGTGCTGCTCTCCAGCCACTTGTCACCTAATCTGTACTTATTAGGTGTAATAGGGGCACCTATTGCTATGCCCCAAGTGCAAGACCTTGCACTTATCCACACTGAATGCCATCCTGTTGTCTCCTGGCCACTTCCATAGTCTGTCTAGATCCTTTTGGATCTGGAGTACCTGCTCCTCAGTTGTGGCCACTGCTCCAGTTTTAGTATCCTCTGCGAATTTGATCAGCAGACTGTTCACCCCCTCTTCCATGTCATTTATAAAAAAAATTAAACAGGATCGGCCCCAGGACAGAGCCCTGGGGGACCCCACTTGTCACTGGCCGCCATCCCGATGATTCCCCACTAATGGTTGCCCCTTTGCTTTCGGTCAGTCAACCATGCCCTAATCCACCGGACAGTGCTTTGGTGTATCCCAAAACTCCTCAGTTTCTCCACCAGGATATCATGGGGCACTTTGTCAAAGGCCTTGCCGAAATCCAGGTATACCACATCCACTGTATCCCCTCCATCTAGTCATCTCGAATCCTTGTCATAGAATTCCACAAGGTATGTCTGGCAGGACCTGTTTTTGTGGAAGCTGTGTTGTGTGGCTGTCAGCCTCCCTTCCCTATCTAGCATCACTAAATCTCTCTATTATGAGCCTTACCATTGTTTTTCCTACAATGGACATAAGGCTAACAGGTCTGTAATTCCCCATGTCCCTTCTACTACCCTTTTTGAAAACTGGGACCACTGATGCCACCCTCCAGTCCTCTGGAACTTCACCCGTTCTCCATGAGGCCTCAAAAATGGAGGCCAGTGGGCGTGAAAGAACCCCTGCCAACTCTCTAAGTACTCTCGGGTGTAACCCATCAGGGCCGGGTGCCTTTGTAATGTCCAATGCCCTGAGGAGCCCCTCAACTTAAAGGGGGGGTGACTCTAATCTGTGCCCCTAAGTCCCCGACCTCATCTATTCTCCTATGCGGATATCCCCTGTCCAGCTTTGGGGAGAACACAGAAGCAAAATGGTCTTTTAGCATCTGTTCCTGTTCCCTCATATCAGTCACTGGATCTCCTTCCTCCTTATTTAGTGGTCCCAGTTTTCAAAAAGGGTAGTAGAAGGGACATGGGGAATTACAGACCTGTTAGCCTTATTCTTGAATATCCTGGCAAGGTCCAGCTCGTAATCAGCCTTTACCCTTCAAAAGAATCCTTCTGCAACGGGCCTCCCCCCCCCACCCCCCGGTATACCCTTTTGTCTATTTTGCCCCAGTACCCATTTCCTACAGAGGTTCCTCTTTCGTCTAATCCCTCTAACCACCTCCTTTCACATTTCACTCTCCTCTGCCTCTCCACCTTACTAACTAGAGGTATCATCAAGGCTTGCGCCTCCAAAACCTCCCTTTTGAGTGCCATCCACCCCTCCTCAACTCGGTTACCTTCCAGTAACCTATCCCAGGAGACTTTCCCCAGTCTGGCCTTCAGTTGGCCAGAGTTGGTCCTCTTGAAGTTCCAGCTTCTAGTGCTTGACCTGCTGCACGTCCCCAGTCAAAGCAAAGGATGGCGTGATCACTCGCATCCAGAGCTCCCCTAATCTGTACTTCATCTATCAGCCTCGAAGTCCCTGGTGATCCTGACCACACCCTGGCTGGCTACATTGTTTGTGCCCACATGGATCACCAGGAGCAG